CACTTGTTTGGAATTACAAGTATGCAGGTAAGTAGTGAATCTTTATTAATCTGTTTTTCATGCCAAATCATTTTTCATGCCTCCTAACCTTGCTTCTATCTGTTTTCTTGTTGGTTTGAATTTCAGATGTTGAATTTGGAAGGTTGCAAGCTAGAGATATGCTGCAGCATCTCTGGACAGGCCCAATTTCTAATGCTTCTGTGGATGTGGTACAAGGACACCGTTCTGTTGAGGTTCGCGCAGTTGGCGTTACAAAGGTGATGTCATCCCCCCCTCCCTTAATGGAAGAAAGCAATTTCCTCCGTCCGCAATCAGTTGTCTGCTTGCTAAAAACTTTCCTATTAAAAAAAAAGAGTTTAAGATATCAGACATTCAGACAAGTCATTCAAATAAAACTGTCACTCATTCAATATCATAAGTCAACCCCTATTAAAGACAATTCGTTTTGTGTTTTTACTTAATATGGAAATCGGACAAGTGAATCCCCTTGGATCCATTCCTCTTCACACAAACATGGACTGATGGAGAGCGGTTTTGGTTTGGGTTTTTTGGGTCACAGGGAGCAGCGATTGACCGTATACTGGGAGAGATAGTTCACAGTGAAGCCATCACCACTCCCATTGATTATGTGATGTGCATGGGGCATTTCATAGGAAAGGTATCGGAACTCTTCTTCATCATCAATTCTTCCCAACTCGCGGCAAGTGTGTCCTTTCCACTAACCAAGCAGGTTGTCTTGTCCACAGGACGAGGACGTGTATTCCTTTTTTGAACCTGAACTTCCTTGTGATGGCATGGGAGTCACAAGATCCAAGTTAAGTGATCCAATGAAGATAGGAGGAGAGAGGAGAAAGTGTTCATCAAGCAGAAGGACTAATAGTAACCCAGCACCTATGCCAAACCAACACCACCATAATACATCATCTGGGGGCGGCATACAGTCACCGCCCATAAATGGTGCATGGAATGTGTTGGATCTCAACAAGGAGAACTACTTCTCCTGTGCAGTGGGCCGCACTCGTACAAATGCTCGATATCTCATCAACTCCTCTGAAGATGTGGTCACCTTCCTAACTGACCTGGCTGCGGCATCGGCTTCCACCTCACCATACTAATAGGGTGGGGTTAAATCCACATCCCTTTTTACGTCACACGGACAATTTTACTCTAAAAAAAATTGCCTATTGTTTATTTGACATAAATGTGTGAATTTAGCAAAAAAGAGATGTGAATATAACCACACCCATTGTATTAAGACGAATTTGTGGGATCTTCTATTGCCATTTTCCTCATTATCAACCACCCTACCCCACCGAGAAAGTTTGTCATGTGAGTTTTGACTTATATGGCCTAAACAATGTCGATCTGTACTTATTATTTTCTTCAATGAATATAATCCAGTGAGGTATTATTGCGCCATATATGCTGTATGTGTGTTTCTATGTTTCTGTTGTACCATCATGTGGCAATGTGATAAATAATTACCCTTCCCAAGGGATAATAATGAAATCTGTGATCAAATTTTTGCCTCTGCTAAATAATATGTTAACCTTTCGGATCCATATCAAACTTGTTTGGAAATGTTGCTTGGGCATCAACACAGGTATGAAATACAACCATGATATGGAGTAAGAATGAGAATTTCACTCTACTGTACAAAGTGCGTGGGATACCATTACTCTCTGGTACCAAATTCAATCAATAAAGCCGTGTCTATGCATATATGGGACTCACACTCACTCTTAGGCTGCAGGGTATGGATACGATAAAATAAATTTGATACCAAAATAAGAGGATGTTGCATTTTAGCAAAGAGGATAACACTACCCCTTATTCTCTGGTACCAAATTCAATCAATAAAGCCGTCTATTCTGTTGCCAATGGACGAAATTCCTTCTTATTTGACGCTAATTCAGTCTTTGTATTGTTTTTTTTAAAGAAATTCCTTCTATTGTGTTGCCAAATTTATGTAATATTTTTTTCTTTAAAGAAATTAAATATTTAATTTTTCTAAAAAAATATTTAGTATTATGAGTTTAAAAATGGTTATTTACTTAAAATAATTGTAGTAAGTTGGCGAATTGGATTACGTATACCTCCACTTAATTGTAGTAAAACAGTAAATTTAATTAATTATTTGAATTAAATAAGTTGTAATGGTAATTTCCTATTTGCAAAAATACCTTTACTTTTTCAAATTTTAAATCATACGAGTATCATTTTGTACCCCTTTGTCATGACTCTATGTTTTTTTCATCTTCTATGTGGCATTGTGCGAGTAAAAGTATTAGTTTAATTTATATTATTTGTTGAAGTTAATTTATTTTAAAAGTAATTTATACTTTTAATTTAAGTCAAATATTTTAAAAATAGCCACAGTAAGTTTGCAAATTGGTGTATGTACACCCCTAGTTTTACTATGAAAAGTATGAAATAAGTGAAATCTGATGTGGTGCTAATGTGAAGAAGGAAGATGATACGTTAAAAAAGAGTATGAAAGGTATGTATACCTTCCACTCTTACGGAGAAGTTTTTTAGTTCTTAATATTAATATCAATCATATATTTTTCGTGTAAATTTACATGTCACTAATCCATGTAACAAAACAAGAGACGAATAAAACAATACTTATTATGAATCTTAATTGAAATAATTGGACATAAATAATCCAACGATCTTATTCTACATTGTATTTTATATCAAAACAATAAATGATTTGAAACTAAAAATGTTAATTTTACATTAGAAATTACTAATTTCATATCATTTATATTTTTCTTTATTTATGAAAAAGAATGATTCAAAAAAAAAATATACAAGACATTTTTTATTTAAAAAAAATAAAATTACTATATTATTAAATATATATACCTCTCAAATAAAAGTTAAAGACAATCATTACGAGTTAAAAGAATAGTTTATGCACATTTATGAGTTACATCATTCTTAAAGAAAGAAAATAGAGTACACAACTAAAAACTTTGTAAACTAGAAGAAATTGGAAAAAACTGGAAGAAGTTTGAAGAAACTAGAAGGAGTTTTGTTACCAAGGCAGTAACATTGTGCGGCGAAGGACGAAAAAGAGAGGAAGGGAGAAAGAGAGAGAGAGAAGGGTTAGGAGTTTTATTATTCTTCTTACTTTAATAACTTTAGGTTACACCTCCATTATAGCAAAGAGATGAAGCCATATTCTAATTAAACTAAATTTTCTATCCTGTCAATTCAATAAAAGCATCGGGGTAAAGAACCAAAAAGAAACTCTTGAAGGAGCTTATAATATGCTCACCTAAAAACTCTATTATTATAATAATGATGATGAATTAATAATTTAAAATAATGTGCTAAATAAAATCTTCAAAACCTGGTAGATGTCGGGTGTTCCTCCTTGGACGACCAGATTGATCTTGTGTGTCACTAGCTTCGTTAACATTCCCTCCGCCTTCAGAAACCAACAAGTCCTCAAGTTAGAGAATGGGAAACGAAGCAGCCAGCGATTCTACCGGTTCCAATGTAGCATCCCCCAACCCACCATCGGACCACGTGACCAACCATTGCTCTTGCGGTTGGCCCTGGACCAAAACTATACGTGCGCGTACTGACACGGTGGGCTTGGACGACGTGAATTCTTTTGGTAACGGGCTGACCGCGTGAAGCATTGCTTTAGACAAATAGAACTTTAACAGTGAGACGTGGAAGACGTTATGTATGCGTGACGAAGTGGGTCACCGCAAGCGATACGCTATTGCCCCAATCTTTTCCAAAACTAGAAAAGGGTCGTAATATCATCGTGCAAGCGTTGCTGAAGTGGGCCGACTCACCGAATGTTGCTGGTATGGCTGTAACTTTAGGAGAACCTGATCCCCAACCTCAAAAGATACTTCACGTTGGGGTTTATTAGCCTGATGCTACCTGCGTTGTTGCATTTTTTGTAAATGACCTCGAAGCTGCCGTAATAATGCGGCTCGAGCAATTAACAGGTCCTCCGTGGCAGATGCTTTACTAACCACAGCCTGAGTATGAACAAGTGGCGGGGGTTTACGACCATACATTGCTCGAAAAGGGGTAGTGCCGAGACCCTCATGGTGCATACAATTCAATGAAAGTTCAATCCACGAAAAATAGATGACCCAACGTGATGGATGATCGCTAGTAAAAGCTTGTAAGTATTGTTCGAGACCCTAATTCATTACCTTCGTCTGACCATAGTAGTCTGTGGTTAGTAGGTCATCGAATGTTTTAATGTGGTCCCGCTGATTTTGAACAACTCTTGTCAAAAAAATGCTCATAAAGAAAGCATCTCGATCAGAAATTGTCGACGTAGGCATGCCATGATGTTTGAAAACGATCTCGACAAAGATGCTGGTAACCTTTGGGGCGTCAAAATGAGGAGGCAATGACCCGAAGTGGATGTATTTAGTGAGCTGATCAACCACCCGTGTGGGTGGAAGACCCGTGATAAGATCCATCGATATTTTGTCCCAAACCTTCGTTGCAACGAGTAACGGCTGTAAGAGGCCTCCGAGTTTCTGAGTAGAATATTTTGCAGCTCGAAACACATGGCACACCAAGTGAAGGGTTGCACATCTTTACGCATGCATGGCCAATAAAAGCTTGTTGTTAGATGTCGGAAGGTGCGATCAATGCCGACATGACCTGCCGAAGGAGAAGTATAATACTCACCTAACAATGTCAAGTGCAAATTGGGCTATGTACTGATGCACAACCAATGCTTATAATACAATACTTCGTCAATAGCAGTAAATGGATGGCCAAGTTACCTTGAGCAGCCAAAGTATGATACTTAACCAAATCCTCCATGATACTGTTTTCCTCGTGAATGGCAGTCGGAAAGGGACTGGGCGTACGTGATGAATAGCATGGCCTTAGTGTGGTGGTCTTAAAGTCGAGATAAGGCATCGGCGACCCGGTTGGAGCAGCCTTTCCGATATTTAATGCGGAATTTAAACCTCATTAACTTACGGATATAGAATTGTTGGTCAGGGGTTTGGATGACATGGAGTAACAATTCTTTCAAGATTTTTTGATCACTGTGAATGATGAACTCACAACCCAATAAGTATTATCGCCATTTCTGCACGGTCTCCACGTCGCATACAATTCCTTAAAATAAGTAGACTATATCCATCGACGAGGGCCCAACTTGTTACTAAAATAAGCAATTGGGTGCCCATTCTAAAGGTACACAACACCCACCCCGTGTGTGCAAGCATCAGTATACACAAAAAAAAGTTTAGGTGAAGTGTGGTAGACGTGTAACATGTGCTTGTGTCATAGCCACTTTCAACTAACTAAATACCTTGTCCGCGGCGAGTGTCCACTTGAGATCATTTTTCTTAAGAAGTCAGTAAGAGAGGCGTCTATCCAACTTTCAGGGTAATAAATGTAATTGTACTATCCAACTTTCATTACTTAAAGGAAAAATTATCGAGAATAATCCTGATTTTACTCGATTTTTCAAAAATAATCTCATCTTTCACTGTGATGCATAATAGTCCCAACTTTACTGAAATTGTAAGTTTTGGGCTGCCGTTAAGTTGCTAACGGTGGGTTAACAAAAAAGGTCTGTTTTACGCAACAAACTGAAAGTTGGGATTATTTTTTATGAACTTTTGTTTTTTTATTATTTTTTAAATTTTCATTTAAAATTTTGAAATTACTTTATTCCTCCATCATTTCTTTTTCTTTTTTTAAAAGATTAGTCTTACTTTTTTAAAAAAATAAAAATAATAGATATAAAAAAATGAAATTGGGAAAAATAACTAAAATGATACAAAATTAATGAAACAAATAAGGTAATCAATAGCAACTACTTTAAATCTAGTAAAAAATCTTTAATATTTTATGCACTATACAAAGTATTAATGTACCACTTCTTATTTTTTATAAAAATTAGCTAGAATAATTATAACTTTGTTGGCCAGCCTGTTCTTTCAAAAAATAAGTTGTAAATTAAGACTTTGTATGGTTCCTAAAATGTTAGAATCGACCACTCGATATACATTTATTTTATTTCTTACTAGTTTCATTTTAATTTCATTTAATTACCTTATTTATTTCATTCATTTTATATGATTTTTAGTTATTTTTTTCATTTTTGTTATTTTTTCTAAGATAAGACAAATCTTTAAAAAACAAAAGATATGGAGGTAGAAAGAAATTTTAAAAATGAAAATGAAAATTTCAAAAAAAATAAAAAAGAAGTTTAAAAAGAAATTTTAAAAATGAAAATGAAAATTTTAGAAAGAAATTTTAAAAAATAAAAATGAAAATAAAATTTGAAAGAAATTTTAAAAAAAATAAGTTTAAAAAGAAATTTTAAAAATAAAAACAAAAATTTTAGAAAGAAATTTTAAAAATAAAAATGAAAATATCAAAAATAATCCGAACTTTCATTTTGTTACGCAAAACAATGTTTCCGTTAGCAAACATTAGCAACTTAACAAAGACCCTAAACTCACAAATTTCCGTAAAGTTTGAATTATTATTCATCACAATGAAATGTAAGATTATTTTTGAAAGACTATGTAAAATTGGGATCATTTTGGATAATTTTTCTTATTTAAATGACAACTACATTTTTAGATAAACTTGTTTTACATATATTATTATAATATGGAAAAAAATTAAACATGACCAGAAACCGGCCACAGACTCCACCAATTTTGGAACTGGCATGGTACCGCCAGTGGTGGGTGACGATTACGGGAGTGGTGGGTGGCGGTGCTAAAACCGACCAGAAACCGGACCGTGTCCAGCCCTAGTTCCATGTCCCTCGTCGCAGCCAGCTAGGGGTGGGCACGGTCTTCGATACACTGATATTACCGAACCCTATCATAAGCCGCTCTTATTTAAACGGTTGGATATCATTACGGGATGAACCCCAAAACCATTCGGTATCATTTCGTTTTGAAACGGAATGATACAATACCATACTAATGCTCAAACCGTGAGAAAAAATAAGGATGCATTTCTCAAAGAGTATCAAAATAAAAGCACAATTTTGAATAAATAATACAACTTTGTTAAAAGAAATTAAAGTATTGATTTCAAATTTAAAAGGAACATATAAACATGTAGAATAAAAGATAATGAGTCGAAACTTAAAAAATTTTTTTTTTTCAATTTGGACAATATCGGACTAGTAATGACTCCAAAAAAAATAATGCTCTTAGTAGTAAAAAAATATAATAACAATAATACTAATGCAAGAATATGAAAAAAATAATACAATACAAAGTACTCCATATATGGTAAGATGAAGTGAATAAATAAGTATTTGGGATACTTCGTAAATAGCTTGAGCGGTGGTTCCTTCCCATTTGATATCGGTTAGGTTTTAGTTGAGGATTGAAAAAATCAATTACTTGGTACCGATTGGGATTTGTTTTGCTTGAAAATTAAATTTTGTTTCAGGCTTTGGCCTGCATGGCTTGATGCAGTCGATCCCCAGTATGGGTATGGATATGAGTCGCCCTCTTTCACTCCTCTTCCACTATGATCATCACCATCATCATGGTTCACTGCCACCCGCAATCTTTGCATTACATACTTCCCACGAACCATATATTATTTACGGATTAAATTTTCTGGATTTTTGAAAGGGGCTTCTGCTGCTGGATGACTCGATCAAATCAGGCATGCGATGCACTTATTGAGTATCCCCGATTTGCGATTTCAATTACCGCGTGCGCCCTTCATTAAAGAAAGGATTACTTGGGTAAACTTAATATTTCTGCAACTTGAAGTGTATTAGTATATAATCCATGGTGGGTTTTTAGTTCATCCGTATTCAGTAGGATTAATTTTGCATAGAACGTGTTTGTTTAATTTCCCAGTTGAATATAAAACTTTGTCATGTACGTGTTTCTTTATCCATGAATCAATTTTTTTTGCCTAGCCTTGACTCGTCTCCGCCTGCTTTTTAAATGAGGCTGGGACCTGGGAATCTGTTGGGATTGTATATGAAATTTAGAATATTTTGGTGGTAGACCCCAACTTCCAGCTTATGGCCGGAATTATGCATATGGATCCCATTGTCTTCTTGCTCATCTCGTTCTTTATGTCCATCCATCTTTCCTAGTTTTAGATTCCTTGGTTCCCATCATATTCTTCTTTCGCAAAATTAAAGTTGTTTCTGATGGGACGTAGACTATTGCTCTAATTAAGACTTCCTCATGTTAATATTAAAATAAGTATATCCAGGACCAGCAGCTGAGCAGACTCTGTTTTATGAGAGTGTGCTAATATGTATATTGTTTGTTTAAACCAAATGCTGCAGGGCTGCAACGCTTGGACTCTGTGAAAATATAATAAGTGAAGAGGCTGCTCATGGGAATCCTATTAGGCAACGACTCTTGGTTGTGGCAAATAGGCTACCAGTCTCGGCAGTGAGGAAAGATGATGGTTCTTGGGCATTGAAGCTTAGTGCCGGCGGTCTTGTTACTGCTCTTCTTGGTTGGTAGTCTTTGTGTGATGATCCCCTTTTTTATGACAAAAATATCCAAAACCTCCATGAGCAGGGATGAAGATATTTCTTTTTGGTAGGTATTGATGCTACATGGATTGGTTGGGCTGGTGTGAGTGTCTCTGATGAGGAAGGGCAGAGGTCACTTAGTAAAGCACTGGCTGAAATGGTGCACTATCCTTGTCTCATTTGTCACAGATTTACACATTTTTGAATTTTGTTTTGCTTTTGGTAACTGCTAATGTCATTTTTATAATAATTACTCCATGCATGCTAAAAAAGGTTCCACAATTTTTTTGGTGTCTCAAAATAAGGTTCCATTTTCCTTTTAAAGAAATGATTATATGGTTTAAATTGTTTCTCTCTCTGCATAATTCTAAACCACTAAATGCCATGATCTTCCTTTTATAATCATGTTCGGTCAAATGTGAAACCTTAATTTGGGACGGAGTTAGTATAATAATTCCCACAATCATTTATCTTACGCTATCAAATCAATCATCATATCAGAGGTGTGTTCCTGTTTTTCTGGATGAAGCGCTTGTTGATCTGCATTACAATGGTTACTGCAACGATATATTATGGCCACATCTCCATTATCTTGGACTTCCACAAGAGGATCGTCCTGCAACAACCAGGACTTTCCAGTCCCAGTTTGATGCATTCAAAAGAGCAAATCAGATGTTTGCTGATGTAGTGAATGAACATTATAAAGATGGTGATGTTGTTTGGTGTCATGACTACCATCTCATGTTCCTCCCAGAATGTTTAAAGAAGAACAACAGCAAAATGAAAGTTGGTTGGTTTTTGCATACACCATTTCCTTCTTCAGAAATCCATAGGACACTGCCCTCTAGATCAGAACTGCTGCGTGCACTTCTTGCTGCTGATTTGGTTGGGTAAGTTCTGCGTTACTGAAGAAATGAAGATTGATTTGTTTTTAATCGAATTGAAACTTACAGTAGGCAACATGAATTGCTCGCCTAGTTACTTTCACGGGGAAACTTGACCATGGGAAACATATGTTCTCCTACTTAGTCTTTTCATTTTCACTACTATGCTGTAGATCTTAATAGGGGAGAGGTAGACCTAAGATTCTAAGAAGAATTGGAAGGAGGTGATTAGACGAGACGGAAGACTTTTTTCCCTTACTCTTGATATGACCTTAGATATGAGCATTTGGAAAACTAGGATTAGGGTAGTTGGGCAGGCGCTTTAGGCTAGATTATAGTTTCTGCACTTGTTGTATGCTTTGTATGCTTGGTGTTCTCTTATATGATCCTATATTAACTATGCTGCTTGAGCCGAGGGTCTCTTGGAAACAGCCTCTCTACATTCGGGACACACACCCTCCCTAGACCATATATACTCTCGTGGGATCCAAATGGGTTGTCATTGTTGCTCCTGCTGTAGAACGTAATAGTATGCCCAACCAATATGTTATTGGATGTCTTGCAATCTCTTAGTAATGTTGCGCATATCAATGTTCATGTTTTACACAATGCATTATTATTTTGGGATGTCAATACATACATCTTTGTACCTTTAAAATTCTTAAATCTTATATGATTACTCTTTTTGAACAATGTGACGATCAAAGGGTTTTCTTTTATTGTTGTTGTTAATATTATTATTACTCCGGTATTATTATTACTGCTGTTGTTGTTCTTATTATTATTATTATTATATATTATTTTTTCCAGATTTCATACCTATGATTATGCAAGACATTTCGTTAGTGCTTGTACTAGCATCCTTGGGCTTGAAGGTACACCTGAAGGAGTAGAGGATCAAGGGAGGCTTACTCGTGTAGCTGCAGTATGCTATCGTTACATTGGTCCTTCTAGTTAACTGACACAAGAATTGTTCTGAAAAGCTAATGCTTCCATGGATGTGTTTTTAATTGGTTTTCTTTTTATTTTGACCTCACTCAAAGTTTCTGTTATGACTTTTTTCATTTCCTTGTATTCAGTTTCCAATTGGGATAGACCCAAACCGCTTCATTCGAGCAGTTGAATCACCCCAAGGGCAGACACACATGAATGATTTGCTGCAGCAATTTGCAGGGAGAAAGGTATGCTCTCCTCTTCTGGAAACTTTATGGAATTTCAAGAACTCTATTTCACAAATCCAAATGTTATTTGTTCTATAGGTCAAGAAAATTTATTTTCGAATTTAGTTTCACGAACCAACCAGGTTTGTATTTAAAATCTTTACCTGGTATATATTTATGTTCTCATACCTTACTAGATATTCCATGATGTTCATATCTAAACCTTACTAGTGTAGGCTAGGCTGATGCTGCATCTGTCATTTAAAATAATACTCCAAATTTAGGGATTTTTTTCATCTTACCTATTTCTTAGCTATTGACAAGAAATTAAACACATTTTGCAGTTTTTTTCCAACTAGGTTTGTTACTACGACTTGTGTTTAATAACACAAAATTCAGTGTACTCTTTTTCAAAATATTTAAATCCAATTTTCCATAGTTCTGGATATCTTTTCCTCATTGACATTATTATACTACCATTTTTTTATCACCTTGTTTTTATGGGATGATCTCACTCACTCACACTGTCACAAACACACCCACAGACTCACACACACACATGCAGACATGCGCTAGCTTGCATGTGATTTTCTTTTCACTGTTTAAATTTTTTTTATTTCCTTGCAGGTTATATTAGGGGTTGATAGACTTGATATGATCAAAGGAATTCCCCTGAAGATACTAGCATTTGAAAAGTTTCTCGAGGAAAATCCATATTGGCGGGATAAAGTGGTTTTGCTGCAAATCGCTGTGCCCTCAAGAACAGATGTTCCTGAATGTATGTATTCTTTCGTCTGTATAATCTTGTTTGGAATTTTCATCTTTTGAGGGCACTGCGTTCTTGGATTCTAAGCGCATAAAACTCCAAAAAATATCAGAAACGTGAAAAATAAATACACACAAAAGAAGAGATTTCGAGAGAAAAATTTCATCTTCACTATTTTAAAACAATATAAGAAAACACTCCTCATTTACAAGCGCTAAATACTAGACGCTTATAAGCCAACCTTTCCACACTCTAAGCCCGCCGGGATGTATTTTTCTGAATAACTACATACTAGTTACTCCCTACACTCAAACAACCCGTTGATCTCTTGCGTAGAAACCCTTTTTTTCTCACTCTTCTCTTCTTTCCTACGTGTACAGCCCACACACTCACCTAAAAGAAAAAGGAGTGAGTCCTTTATAGCCCAATGCATGGTTTCAGGAGTCTTGTTCTTTTTTTATGTGCATGTTCTTGTTCCCATTTTTTCTTTAGAATATGGAATTATTTCCTAACAAGTAATAAAGTGCATCTTGATTAAATAATCAAATTTGGCCCGGCTTCACCTCGCTCGATCCGGAAAGTTCACATCTTCTACCAACCGGAGAAGCTGCAAACATCACCGGCTTCTTCCATGTAAATGTTTTCCTTGACCCACTTGTACTTTTCTCCTTCAGCAGCTTCTCTCTCAAAATGTATCCTACAAGTTTGTACAAGCCTTTGACAAAATTCATTTTGCTACCACCATTGCCCCTATGGCAATTTTTTAGAATCCACCTTGACCAAACAAAAAACAACAACAACAACAACAACGAAAAATTGATTACAGAATTAAGACCTATATATAACCTTAAATCGGTTAGATGTAATACTTAGCTGATCCCATAGAATTGTTCTTCCCACACTGTAAAATTCTATTAATCCTGCCTGTTACTCCTTAAGTATGTTGAATACTATGTTAATATATTCCCTAATTATTAGATCTCATTTGGAAAATCTTGTATCTTTGCAGACCAAAAATTGACCAGTCAGGTCCATGAGGTTGTTGGACGCATCAATGGGAGATTTGGAACTATGTCTGATGTTCCCATTCACCATTTGGTTTGTCTTTTCTTTGGTCATTTATATTTAGAGTAAAATACAACTATACAAGGAATATGTACTATTCTTGAAGCATTATACTCCCTCTATTCCTGAACATTGATTGACTAGAGTTTAAGTGTTGAAAAGTAAAAAAAAGGATAGTTAGGATTTGTTTAGAAGAGAATAATGTTGTTAGCCACATATTCTTCTCCTTGTAAAAAATTGTGAGAAGTGGGACTTTAACTTTGGGGTACTGAAGATGAAAACTGTGACTTTAACTTAGGGACAACAGTAGATTTTTACAAACATGTAGACCTACATCAGATTTTACCATATGCCATGGTAATCTTACCTTTGATTGATGTCATTAGTTCTCTCTTTTCCTTTCTTCTTTTTTTTGTCTTGGTACATAGGCCATGATGTCAAACTGCTTCTTTTCTTTACTATGATCCCTACCTTTTGCATGCATTAATGAGTTGTGTTGGATATGCCTGTCACCAAGTATCTATGTCCTTAAATCATTGCTGACCATATTAATGATTTAGTTTTTTTCTGTCATCTTTATACCATATGTTTCATTATTTATTAGATTTCCATTTATCTTCTTTAGATTAGCTCGCTTGTGTTGGAAAATTCTATACATGCAAGTTGACAGTTCCGTATCAGTGAATATTGGTTGAAATCCTTTGTGTTTTACTCATTATTAGATAAATAATTAAATTTTGAAAACCACAATTTAGTCCTCAACTCCTCAAGTTTGCAACTTGGTTACTAACTGATATTCCATTTGATTTTTAAAAAAATTAATACTCCGTGCATCTGCAGGATCGATCTCTTGACTTTCAAGTTTTATGTGCACTCTATGCTGTTACTGGTATGAATTCTAAATGCTCTCTTTACAAAGATAATCTACGTCAAGACTTGAGTGCATCTAGTAATCAACATCATGATGACATTTCTGTTTCAATTTGTTGGACTCTTCTTACTGACAGATGTTGCACTTATCACATCCTTACGTGATGGAATGAATCTCGTCAGCTATGAGTTTGTGGCATGCCAGGCATCAAAAAAGGGGGTTCTTATTCTTAGTGAAGTAATCATCATGCTCTCTTAATTTGTATGAATTTTATGTTTTCTGAAGCGTAGAACGTCCTTTGAAGAAATTCTAGCTACAACTACAGCAATGAATTTTTTTCAAGTAACTTATGTAAGTTTTTTTTTTGGATTCTTCCTGGGCATATTTGCAGTTTGCAGGTGCAGCCCAATCTCTGGGGGCTGGAGCAATCCTTGTTAATCCATGGAACGTCGCAGAGGTTGCTGCTTCTATCAAACAAGCAATTGAAATGTCAGCTGAAGAACGCGAAAAACGTTACATGCATAACTATATGCATGTGACCACCCATACTTCTCAAAAATGGGCTGAAACTTTTGTGAGGTTTGTACAACTAGATGACTTTAATTCTTTTTCCTTCTCTATGGAATGAACTACAGCAACCAACTGCCTAATTTTCTGTCACCCAAAAAATCCTGGAAACATGCTGATCATAACCATTATGGTAGGGAAAGGATAATGATTATGAGATGCACCAACTTTGTTCTTTTACAGAAAAAAAACCAGTACGGGCAGGTTTGTTTCCCTGCTAATTTTACTGATGTTCCACTTCTTCGTGTTGATTGTTGCAGTGAATTAAATGACACTGTTTTTGAAGCTCAGCAAAGTATAAAAGCAGTCCCACCACGACTAAACTCCAGTGATGCAATTGACCGCTACTTGCAGTCCAAAAACAGATTTCTCATATTGGTATGAGAGCCTTGTCCTGTTTTTCTCTCTCTTGCTCCCTGTTGAGGGTTGTTATAGAAACTTGTACTAAAAAACCACTTAAAGTTATAATTTTAAAAAACCACGCAGGGTTTCAATGGTGTGCTAACAGAAATAGTGGATAGCCCCGAAAGAACAGGCCGTGATCAAAATAATGATATGAAGCTTAAGTTGCATCCCAGTTTGAATGGACCTCTAGAAGCATTGTGTAGGGATCCAAAGACAACAATTGTTATCCTCAGTGGAAGTGACCGAAGTGACTTAGATGCTGTACTACAAGCTTTCTCTCTATCCCCTCCCCCAAATCCAAAAATATCTCCTGGTATTCTTAAAAAAAATCTGAAAAACTGCCTTTTTTTGCAGAACTTTGGTAAGTATGACATGTGGTTGGCAGCAGAACACGGGATGTTTCTTCGATCTACAAACGGAGAATGGATGACTACAACGCCAGAACTTCTAAACATGGATTGGGTTGACAGTGTAAAGGTATGAACATGTGGTGGATCATTATCTCATTCTCATCCATGAAAGCCGAGTCACTGGTATTGCGTATATTTAATTTCTACAGCATGTATTTGAGTATTTCACCGAAAGGACTCCTAGATCCTATTTCGAAATGCGCGAAACTTCACTTGTTTGGAATTACAAGTATGCAGGTAACTAGTGAATCTTTATTAATCTGTTTTTTATGCCCAATCGTTTTCCATGCTTCCTAACCTTGTTTCTATATGTTTCATTCTTGGTTTGAATTTCAGATGTTGAATTTGGAAGGTTGCAAGCTAGAGATATGCTGCAGCATCTCAGGACAGGCCCAATTTCTAATGCTTCTGTGTATGTGGTACAAGGACACCATTCTGTTGAGGTTCGCGCAGTTGGTGTTACAAAGGTAAAAAGGAAGAAAGATATTTCCTCCGTCTGCATTCAGTTGTCCACTTTCTAAAAAGATCATATCTTAAAAAAAAGAGTTTAAGACATTTCATCATATTTTTTCTAATTAATATGAAAAACGGACAACTGAATCCCCTTGGATCTATTCCTCTTCACACGAACATTGACTAATGGAGAGCGGTTTGGTTTGGGTTTGGGTCACAGGGAGCAGCGATTGATCGTATAATGGGAGAGATAGTTCACAATGAAGCCATCACCACTCCCATTGATTATGTGATGTGCGTGGGACATTTTGTAGGAAAGGTATTGGAATTCTTCTTCATCTTCTTCCCCACTTGGCAACATTGTGTCCTTTCAACTAATCAAACATGTTATCTGGCCCACAGAATGAGGATGTGTATTCCTTTTTTGAGCCCAAACTTCCTTGTGAAGGCATGGGAGTCAGAGGATCCAAAATAAAGCCAATGTCGATGCCACCCCACCACCATGATACACCGCCCATAAATGGTGCATGGAATGTGTTGGATCTCAACAAGGAGAATTACTTCTCTTGTGCTGTTGGTCGCGCTCATACAAATGCTCGATATCTCATCAACTCTTCTGAAGATGTGGTCACCTTCCTAACTGACCTGGCTGCGGCATTGGCTTCCACCTCACCATACTTTTAGCGCGGGGTTAAATCCACATCCCTTTTCACGTTATTTGTACAATTTTACCCTTAAAATTTGCCAATTGTTTATTTGTAATAACTTTGTGGATTTAGCCAAAAGGGATGTAATTTAACCACACCCATTATATTAAGTCTAATTTGTGGAAGCTTAATTATTGCCATATATGCTGTGTTTTTATGTTTCCGTTGTGCCATCATGTGGTAAATATAATGTCTTAACCTTTTGGATAATAATCGAGTGAGATAGTTACCCTTCCCAAGGTATAATAATGAAATGCCATCACGCTCAAATTTTTGCCTCTGCTAAAAATGTCTTAACCATTTGGATGCATATCAAATTTATTTGGAAATGTTGCTCTATGGGCATCATCACAGGTATGCAATACAGCAATGGTATGGGGAAGAATGAGAATTTCACTCTAGTGTACAAAGTGGAGTAGCCCTATGATGTCTTTATAGGGATCACTCCCTTTACGTGGGGTAGTGTGCTGCGTTGTATATGCATATATAGGATGAATTGTGAACAGAATCTGTTTCTTCGAATGACAAAGGACAGATTCGGCTTCAAAAAAAAACATTGGAATGTATAGATGTCATGCATTCGTGTAATTGCATTCAAGAAGTTTCACACTCTTACATATATCAGTGACTAAAAAGAGAAAGAAAGCATCGAAGTCTCCAAGGTTTGCTGAACATTTCAATTCTCTAAGAAGAGAACCGAGGAAGAGCAAAAAAAGAAAAAAGAAAAAAAAAAACTTATTTATGCTAAGAAAGAATAACTGAAGAGATGATTGGCGGACATAAAAAAGAAATCTGCTGTCCACTAAATTCAACAATGCTGGGAACGTATACTTATGATGCGGGGGTTTTTCTGTTTGGTTCAAACACATACTTGATCAATGACTCCTTTATTGACAGCAACTCAGGGAACTCCCTCTTCAGCTTTGATGCATCCATCTCGTTGTTACTCCGGGCTGCAACGATCACCTTTGCCTGCTCTTCCAGTGTGAAGTTGGCCCATTTGAATTCCGGATCCATGTAGGTCTTGTACATCTCCAGAATCTCATTGTGGCTGACAACCCCGGGGTTGGTAAAATTCCAAATGCCCCTCAGGTTGCGCTTCGCCATCTCGATGGAAATGGGAAGCAGCTCGTCCAAGACAGTCATGCTGTTGGGAATGTTTACAACCTTGTTGTAACGGGCAATCTTGGTGATGAAATTGCGCGGGTTGTTCAGATCTGAAGAGATTGGCATCCGAACCCTGAGGGTGCAAACATTTTCGTACTCTTTTAGGAGCTCTTCAACCTGGTTCAGAACAAAAACAAAATGATAACAATAATAATTACTTGATCTTATATAGTACAGATAGAATCATCATAAAAGCAAATCACAAGCTACTACCATGGCCTTGGTCTTTGAATAAAAAGAACCGGCAAAGTTTGGTGTGTCTTCTTCTTTAAACCCAATCCCGGAACCTTCTGGATGAGAAGCATCATATTCGAATATGCAACCTGTGGCAAAATTCATCATCAGCAGGCCATTCTCTCTGCACACATCTGCTAAAGTCAGTGTCCCAACAACATTGGTGCGAATTGTTTCAGTCTTATGACTCTCACACCAATCAACATTGGGTCTGCCGGTGACCCCAGCAGCATTGAACACGTGGGTGGGCTTAACAGATTGAATGTCAGCCAATAGCTGCGAACGATACTCCAACCGGCCTCTACCGTACTCATAAGGGATCCCCTGTTTCTCACACAGCTTGCCAAGTAGACCGCCAAGCCACCCAGTTCTACCATAAATCAAAAACTTATAAGCTGGTTTGCCGCTTGTGGGAGGTGGTGCCATTTCCGTCTCATTTGAGTTGTATTTCTCAGGCCCTTCAAAGTTCTTTTCTATACCGGCAGGCATCATTAGCATTCTAGGATGGGGAAGCAATGCACCAGATACATCCCCCCACCAATCAGGGTTATTGGTATACCATTCAATCGTCTTCTTTAAACCCTCTTCCCACAGTGTCCTTTCTGACCAACCCAGATTTTTCAATTTCTCATCGTCAAGGAAATATCTCTGGTCATTAAACGGCCTGTTTTCTACAAATTCAATGCTTTTTTCTGCATCCATATTAAAAAGCCTGCATATGTCTTGAGCGACATCGATCACTCTCCTCTCCTTCTTTGTTCCTATGTTGTAAACATGACCAACCTCTCCCTTGTGAAGGATGACCTCAAAAGCCTCAGCAACATCTTCACAATAGAGATAGCTTCGTACATTAGAACCATCTCCATGAATCGGAAGTGTCTTTCCCTTCATGGCTAAGAGTATGAACTTAGGGATTAATTTTTCAGGGAACTGGTTGGGGCCATACACATTGTTTCCCCGAGTTGTTATGACAGGCAATCCATATGACCTACCATAAGCCATGACAAGCATTTCAGCACCTGCTTTTGTTGCTGAATATGGATTCGTAGGAAGGAGTTGTGATGCTTCATGATTTCCCACTACAGCATCCTCATCAGTCTCCCCGTACACCTCGTCTGTGCTGACATGGATAAACCTTCTGATCTGACCAGTAACTTTGCAGGCCTCCAATAGTACATGTGTGCCATAAATGTTGTTCTTGGTGAACTCAAAGCTGTTTCCAAAGGAGTTGTCAACATGGGTTTGAGCAGCAAAATGCATTATAGTGTCTATGGACTCGGTGATGAGGAGATAGTTAACAAGATCAGCACTTGCAATGTCCCCCTTAACAAACTTGAAGTTAGAAGATGGGCGGGAGGGGAGAAGGTTCTTAAGATTAGAACAGTAGTCTAGCTTATCAAGAACAACAATCTTGTAATCAGGATAACTCCGGACAAGTCGATTTGCAACATGAGATGCAATGAATCCAGCAGCCCCAGTGATGAGAATGTTCTTTGGGGTGTATGTTGTCATCTTCGAATTGCTGCCACAGAAAACATAATCCAAATATATAGTCAACACACTACAAAATGCAAATTCATGGAAAAAATCATCACCATCAGCACTTAGTGAAAATTCCAGTGTCAATCAATTGTCTAAATTTTAACTCCTAGCTCATGCAAAAGAAAGTAGTGACAAAACGATAACGTTTTATGCAATTATGCCATACTGGCAAGGTATGGCATCCTGACAAAACCTTCTTATGAAGGAATATGAATGAATAATGAGATGAAATAGTAAAACCGTGTGCCCATTGCATAATTTATATTGTGAAATCAATTTGCAAATCATGGATCATGACCAGAAGACAGGTTCATTTAGATGGCGCGTCCAGGGCAGACATTGGATTACAAAGTGAAGAACCAAAAAAATACATTGGCCACAAGAGCAATTCTCTTACCAAAAACCTGTCACCAACAAGTTAACAAGAAAGACCCAGGTTTGTAATAAATAACGCTCATAAAAAAACACAGATGTTCTATTTTCCTTCATCACTCCATATTTCCATGAACGGACGCAATTTTAAAAATATAGCAACAGATCCAAAATGTCTTAACAAAATTGATCCATTCCAGCAATTCAAAAATTCAAACACTGCATATGAACAAAAAAGCAAACTCAATTAACTGCGGCAAAACACAAGAGCGTACCAGATCTAGGAAAAAAACGCGGCAATGCGAGCAAAAGGATACAGCTTCGTAACAGATCTGCGCGGAAAAAAAGAAAAATTCGCCCAAATCACGAACCATTAACAGACAGCCTAGCGCAGAGTAAAGGAATAGTTTTGAGTAACTTACAGCTTGAGGATCGGATCGTTGGATCAATCTGGATCAACAACCCCGGCGTCTATATGAGAGAATGCAAGACAGAATTTATAGTTACAGAGAGAGAGAGAAGGCGGGGGAAGAGAGAGAAATGGGAGGAGAAATGAATTCAGACAGAGAGACAAAGAGGAAGGATTAAAATAGAGCCAAGGAAGCGAGGAACGAGGGGAGTCCATCAAATGTTACACAGTATTTATACATATGGGGCTTGAAACTCGGATATATAACAATCATCTATTGACCATCACCCACCTTTCATGCATTTCAAAGGGAAAAATTGGTTGTTTGTAGAGATGGCAATCGAATCAATCGGAACGGTTCCGATTTGGGATAATAGTCGATTCGGTTCGAATCAATTCAGTTTAATTTTAGTTTGGATTTAATTTGGTTCCATACATTTTCTTGTTCAGTTTCGGGTCAGTTCAGATAAGGTTCAGACATCAATCAGTTCGAATCGATTTTAGTTTTGGACACATTCTGGTTCGGATATATATCGGTTTGGGTATATTTCGGATTGGGTATATTTCGATTTTGAATATATTATCATATATGTTATTTTCGAATTAAAATTTAAATATCCATTTACTTTTTTGTAATATCGCATTTATCAATCTATCATCAATTCTTTACCTCATATTATTTTATATTTTTTCTAATTATATTCCCTCCGACTTAAATATCTTCCATTTTTATCCTTTTAGTCATATTTTAAAAATTTGGATTACGAATTACGAAAGAAAAGTATATTTAGTTCTGATTAGGGGTGGGCGTGAAATCCGTTCCCGTTGGACCGTTCCGAAAAATTCCGGATCCGTTTTGTAATTTTACCGATATATTATTGGGACACATTTTTTGTCCCAAACCCGTTCCTTCTTATATTTGCAATTAGGACAAAGTAGGAAGACTCGAATATGCCCCGGTTTATTCTGATCCCGAATTTTATGGAACAAACTTGGATAAGATTGTAATCCGAACCATTCTAGACTATTTATATATAACGGGACAAGACGTGGGACAACCTAAAACCCAGACTGTCCTAATTCGTGCCCACCCCTAGTTCTGATATAAAATTAATATGATTAGATTACTAAACTACATACAATTTGGTTAAAATATGTTGAAATTGAGTGAAATTGAATGCAATTAGGTAAATTTTGGGTGAAGTTAAATACAATTCAAAGCAAGTGTTTGGCCAACCACATAGTATTGAGGGGGTGAAAAAAATAAATTTTTAGCTGTGATCTAGTTTGTATAAGTTTTAACTAAAATTTTTTAAGTAAGTTATAATTTTCATTTTTATACCAATTTATAATTAAAATAAATTTAAAAGATATGGAATTTTGCATTGTGTTTAGATATGATAATTCCTTTTGGAACGTAGGGATTAATTAATATAAGTATATATAACTAACATAAATGGTAAAGTAAAAGTAAAATTT